GAATTAGATGGTGGAAAGGAGTGGCGGAGGAGATTGCTGGGAGCCTTAAATTGTCTTAGGAGGAAATGTCTGGAACAGTCGGGAGTCTGGGGAGGGTGTCTCGGGAGCTTCCAGTATCGCCCAGCCACTTCTCCATACCAACCGTGCTTGGCATCGCTGTTAAGCGAGCACACGAGGGCACCTGTTCGCCGGTGACCGTCCTGCACTTTGCGCAGCACAAATCATCGGGGCCTTCTGGGGAATGTTCACACAGAGGAAATCACACGCAGGCTCCTCGGTATCAATCGAATCGAGCATCTGCCTAAGTGACTCCGCTGCCAAAATGGCGTCCTTAGTGTCACAATCGCGGGACTTTGGACATTCCTCAGTGGTCCGGAACAGGTTCCGCTTTTTGCTCTCATTCACTACACGCCGGTACATTTCCTTCCAAACAGGAAAGGTGTGCACCTCTGGCTTGAATTCAAAACGAATTCTCTTCTCTTGCACAACACGGAAAATTGACTTTCCAGTCCAATCAAACTTCTGTTTCGCATTTGGGCGTTTCTTCCAGTTACCCTTAAATGTCCTACTCTTTCCCTTTGAGTCCATGACTACCATGGTGAACCGGTCTTCCAACCTGGATGACTCCACAGGACAGGATTTACGTGTAGGGAGAAACGACCTGTTCCTAGGCTTCAAAAGGTGCTTGATCAATTCGGTGCCATCTTTGGAGAATTCCCAGTAGTCCTTACTCTTATGGGTCCGAGTAGCGGTCGCTGCTAAGCAAGACATTGCGAAACCTGTTTGGACACATGGACTGGCCTTTGGACTTTTGTCCTTCTTTTCCCTTTTGCTCTTCTTGTCCTTTGTGTCCTTCATTGATTTCTTGTCCTTAGACTTCCTAGCCGCGGGAGAGGGACTTCTTCTGCGTGGGGCCGGCGTAGCCGTTTCACCGTGTTTGAACGGGCATTTGTCACCCCTTTTGCAGTTGCCCTTTGCAAAGAACCTGCATGGCTTCTCAGATTTTCTGCCCCTGCTTGAGCTCCTTGATGAGCTCCTTGAACTATTGCGGGAGGACGGCCTTGACGAACTTCTTGAACGGCTAGACCTAAACGATGATCGACCACTTGAACTTGCGCTTCGCGATCGAGACGACTCCCGGCTAAGGGAGCGGGGACGGGCGCTAGAGTCGTGAGCGTACTTGCATTTGCTTCCGTACTTACACTTGCCAGTTTTGACGAACTCATAGCATTGGTTGCTTCCGTCGCCCTTCGTACTTCGCTTGCCATAACTTGGGCTTCGTGCGCGCTTGTCATGCGGTGCTGGGTTTGCATACTTTGCTGCATGCGATTGAGAAATCTTCTCTCGATTGGTCCTAGGCCTTTCACGATCGAGATACCGTCGGACAGAATTAATCAGAAATTCATAGCTTCTGTCGTTACTTCCTTCCGCTGCGCGTTCATAAACATCAAGGTCAAATCTGAGCTTACGGGACTTCCTGACCTCTCTATAGAATAAATCCTTGAGGGTGGCCGGATCGGGAACATGGCTCATTCCGGTCAACACACTCTCCCATTTCCTAAGAAAGGATTTTAAGTCATCGCTGTCAAGCGAGATCTTCAGGAGGTCTTCCGTGCCATACAGTGCACCCGCTTCTTCGCTAGTCTTGAAATGGACTTCGAACATGAGCAAAACCTGACGACCACGAACAATTCTACCCTGCTGTGCCTCAGATTCCTTGTGGTTAAGGATTTGCTGAGACAGTTCACCTTTGGCAACCTTAGTCAAAGCAGCAAGGAGTTTCGTGTCTAGGGTCCGAAACTTGCCTGGGTCAGCCAGCTCGGAACAAAGCTTTGCTTTGTCCTCGCGAACGGCATATACCTCAAGCACCCACGCAAACGCGGCGTCTGGGTCGTCGGACACGGACCGTATCGCTTCGCGAACAGCGGCCCTCCAAGTGCGGTACCTGTCAGGACTTGGGAATTCAGGGAGATCTATTTTATCGGCCTCTTTTGCCTTGGGTTTGTCTGAGTCTTTGCTTTTCGCGCCCTTAAACCCTTCTAGCAAGGCCCTTTTGATGATTTCCCCCAAATCTTGATCTTGTGGCTTCCTTACCTGAGATGCCGGCCCTTCATCTTTGCGATCGTCCTTTTTCTGAGTTGCATCCTGATAAAAGAAGCTTTTGTACAAAGGGTCATCGCTGAAGTTATACTGCGCCGACTTCTTCATGTAATCTGTCCACGGATCCGGTTGTTTGAATTGTTGTTTATCAGTGGAGGCAGTAGCTTGTTCCGCTGCCGGCGCCCCTGTCACAGAGAACATTGAGGGAAATCCTGTGTTGCGACTTGTTGTTGAAGCATCCATCGCCGTTTTCATAGGAATTCCTGCTGGGTCTGAGGGCGAACCTTCCAAGGTTGCTGGAACTGCGCCTTCCGTACGAAGTGGTTCATACGAACGAGGTTGACCACTGGGAAAACATTTGGCTGAGCAGGAGGTGGAGGTCGCTCTGGTTGTTGCGGCCCTGGTTTAGCGGGGCTTGCAGGTTGAGATTTACGCTCCATTTCTTTGCGCTCCTCTTCCTTGTCCGACAAGGCCTGCACAACACGTCTGAGCTCGTCCATTTCACCCTTTAGCACAGCATTGTCCTTGCGAAGTTCAACACTGGTTTTCTCTTGAGTTTCCCGGTCAACTGCATGTTGTGTCTTGGTTGATTCCATCTCACCAATGAGTGTCTTGATCTTTGCCTGTGCAATTGCCAACGAACTGGTCAGCTCCTCTCGCTTGAAGTCGAGGTCTATAGCAACACGGGCTTCTTCAGCGGATGAAGATCGAGCTTGCTCTGTTGCCTCTAAAGCTGCCTTTAGCCTAGACTCTTGCTGTTCGGTGTACTGACGATGTTCAGTTCTCATTCTGTCAACAAATGCATTGCCTTCCTGTGCTAAGGCATTCTTTTCTTGTAAAACCTTCTCATGAGCCATTGTCGCCTGAGCTAGCCGTTGTTGAAAATGCTCTCGTTGCTCCTCCAACGTACCTTGCAACCTTTTGATTGCAACGTTGTCGCGATTGCTGAACCAACTGCTGAACATTTTGTTCTTGCTGTTGAGCTCTTTGTTGAACATTCAACATTGCTTGCTCTGCTGCGGCTTTTGTTGCTGCTATCGATTCGGAAGCTTCTCTCTCGTATATGTGCCTAAAACGCAACGCTTCGAGTTCTGCTTCCCGCCTAGCTTGCTCACTGAGTAACAACTCGTGTTGTTGGAGTTCCCGTCGTAGTTCTTCATCGCCTGATGTAGTGTTCAGGTTGACGACGTTGAACCTTGTCATTGCCAACAAGTTGTTTACTGTTGGCGCACCAGTTACGGCGGCTGACGGCATACCTGCTAGGGTAGCTTGTGTCGCCTCTTGAAGAGTAACACTACCACCACTGTTTAGCATCTCTTGGTACACCTCCGAAGCTACCCTTGAATCCATTGCCGCCACTTGTGCGACTGCCTGTTCATGTCGTTGAACCGCGTCCAAACTATTGGGTATACTCGGAACTATGTCAAAGCCACTTCTGTAGGAGTTCGGTGCGATGTCGTCATCCATCGGGTCCATAGCTCTACTCTAGCTAGCCTACGGCTGATAACCTGTATTTTACAGGATCAGCTCTAATGGTCCTAACTATCTAGCCAACCCTGGTCTACCGCTAAGCGTCCCTTTTGACTCTACCTTGAGAGTACACGCTACGGGGTCCAAGGGGTGAGGGGAATTTCAACAAAAGAAAAGCTTTCAGAAAGTAGCGTGAAACCTTGCGAAACCTATTGAAACACAAGGGGCCCTCCTTAGCCAACCACATCAACAAATGCTGGCTCGGCTGTTCCTGCGCTTCGACTCCTTCAGCATGGGCAACTCCGACAGAACCACCTGGGCGAAAGGCGGCGAAAGGAAAACATACCCAATGCCACTACAGATAAAATGCTGGAGCATTGAAAGCCAAACTGTGCAACTCTCCTAAGTACTGTGTATGCATTGGTATACAATACCCGGTACCAGGTCTACAAAGCCAGGTTTCCACCTGAAGATAGCTATTTGGTGCATTTAATTTGACAAGCCCCAGAAGCTCCGAAGGCATCCACCACAACTGACTCAAATGCCACCAGGTCGCCCTTCAGTCTCTTGATGGCTCCGCCAATGGCTGCGCCAGCTTCACGGGAAGGCTCTTTGTCACCAAGACCCACGAGGACCACGCGCTTCACGGCCTCACAAGTCTTCTGCATCAGAATGGAAGCTGTCAAACACAAATCCGTTTGGAAGGATTCTGTCGGACGAAGGCCTTGCCAAAAACCGGAAACATGGCCGCTGCTCCGGCTTTGGCTTCAAAGGATTCTTCCTTGATGTAGGAGCCAATGGCACCTACACAGCACGTGTCAAACCCAGAAAAAAATAGAACACGGCAAACTTCGCTGCAATGTGCCAGACATTGACAGCTCAGAGATGATGGAAGCTGGCCTCCTAAAGCTTCGTCGATAGACTTTGCAACAGTTGAAAGAATTGGGATGTTGTCATCACCCTCGCCAGGGAGTAATAGGACCAACGTGTCGCCTGCGCCAGACGGAGAATAGACGTTCCGAAGACAACCACTCTTCTGCGTCACATCCGTCCTGTCCACTCTTCTGCCGATGTCTCTGATACAGAAATGGCAGGCCCAACCTGAAAGCAAGCAGCTTGCGAGTCGTCCGAATTCCCGGCCCAAGAGTGTCGATATGAACCATCAAACCACTCTGCCTGTAGATTTCTCTTCCAAGGCGATCATTGCTGAGAATCGGAACTTCTGTGGCATTGTGCATAAGAGAGTCCTTTGGGAAGCCTTTCCAACCTTAAGTAATATATAGATCTTCGTCCTTTTTGGTCGCAACTCTTCGGGTTAGTGGGGCCGTTTTCGGCCGTAAAACGGCTTTTCATGCCAAGTTGCAGTTTCTCTAAAGCGGATGGTGTCAGGCCTCGGCGCGATGACTTGCCAGCACAATGAACGTTACACAGCCGACATGACGAAAATGTCATGGCAATGGCACTATCACTATATGGCACTTCAAACCACAGTGGGCAAATGTGGTCAACATGTATAACCAAACCTACTTGCCACATACCTTCGCAAATGCCATGTTAACACCGAATAAAGCCAGTGACGGTGCTTCAGTGGCCACAGCGCGCAGTGTCACAAGGTCCTTCGAACTGCGAGGTGTTCAGTTTCAATCTTCTGTGATGCAACATGTATCTATTGCACGTACCCACAAGTTGTTTTTCCATACACCAGTCATTATTCACAAATCACAGCGGAAGAAACAAATCTTGTATCTCGTGTGGATCAATTTGATGCCCTGGGCTCCTGTCGCCGCGAACTCCGCCTTCTTGAGACAGCACTTGCACTCACCGCCGCGACTGTTAGGCTTGCGATTCGCCTGAGCGGGCATGCGGGCAAATACGGGCACCGGCTTCCTAGTAGCCTGTGACATTTGTGTCAGGGACTGGAGAAGTTGCTGTAAACAGTGTAGTCGGCATATCTATATCTATATATTGATAATACGTGTTCACGGACCTCAATGCTGTTGCAACCAATACTCACCAGGCTGCACATTGCTGTCAAAACTGCGAGTATCCCCTAGGTCCATCTAGCTCCCCTCCCTCTGGAAAAACGTTAATCGAAGTGCCCGATGCACCCCTCAAAACCATGTGGCATGAATGTGCTGTTACCTAGGCATTGATCTGCCCTCAAGCACTTGAAACGATTTCCGGCCTCTGTGTTTGAATTGGCTTCGCCTAGAACTTTCAAGGGTGAAACTAGAACCAGAAGTGGTTGGAGCTCCGTGCCTGAGGTGCGGCTTCCTGAGCACCTGAACCAATTGTCTTCCAATCTGTTTCTCAATTTTCCACCAAACTCTGCACCTCGCAAAGCCCACTGGGCCCGCACAGCAGAAGCCAAGTGGCCCTGGCAACAATGTGGCAAATGGGCAGACTTGTCCAAACGACTGTACAAGACATGACAACAAGTAGACTCATAGACTATCGTAGACTTAGATTATATTGGTGTCCCCTCAGCTTCTTTCACAGAAACACAAGACTTTTGGCGAGAGTCCAACTTCTGCAACGCTAACACCTCCTACTCCCGAGTCCCATTCCCTCGGCACCGTGCCAATCAACCGAAGACTGGCCATGGCCACGTTCTCTTGTGAATCAAAAAGTAGGCTAAGCCTTAAGATTCCTCTGGCAAATGCTGATCCACATTTCCAATTTCGAGAGCAGCTGGTGCTGAAGTATCCCCAACAGTAGTGCATCATCCTGAAACACATCTCGTTTACAGAAATTGAAGTCAGCTCCGGTCAATGATGCTGCAAACAACATTATGGAAATACACGATCCATGGCGGCCAGCAACACAACCACCACACTACATTGCATCATGTCTCCAACAAAATGCTCTCTTCACATGAATCTTCGTGAGCGCTGCAAGCAGCAAAGCACCTGACTCACTGACCTGTTTTCGCAAAACGGTGGTGGTTTGGCCCATACGACATGACTTCTGCAAGCTTGTACGTAGCCAGTTTCTTCAACCACCCTCAAACACGCCAACTAGGTTGCTCTCATCACCGGCACATCGTTTCGACAAGCGATCGCCATCATAATACCAAATGGTGACAGCGACCCGATCACTCCAACATGGTAAGACTTCATGAGGGTTCTGATCTTCACAGAAGAATCCCACCAATCGGCCATGGAGAGGCTCTATTTCAGTGCCACTCGTATCGGCCAACTCTTTGAGAATTCTCAAGCATCCACCATCTGACTCTTGCCAAAACGGGTTTAAGTATAAGACCAAAGTCAAGACTCGACCATTTCCACCACGGCCACCGGCTGTCGAATCCAAGTGTCTGCCATATGCAGACCCATTCCCAGGATACACTGCCAGCATTGGATGGCCTTGCCACAGATTCTTTCCTTCAAGGCCCTTCAACTGGTTGCTTACGAGCAGCTTGGCAAGCAAACGGTTGCACAAGCCAGTCATTTCTCGCAAGCACTCTGGAACTTCTCCAGTGTCAAGGAAGGTGTATGTGTCGTTTTTCATCGGTTTGGCTTCGCAATTGACTGGCCCCTCGTGCTTATTCTTTCCAAAATGAAGCTTTCCTGCTGCCTTCTCCGCTAAAACGAAGTTCCGCAGGTCATCAGCCTGAGGTCCTGGCAGGAACCCATCAAGCACGCCCCAACCACGGGAGGCCAGCTGTGTTGCCAGCTGTTCGGCGAATGTGTCAAGTTCACTTGGAAGTCCATCCCTGGTGGAAAACTTGAGCGTCAACAACGACTTTTTGCGAGACCATCTGGGGACAGGTGCTTCACATGATGTTGGGACTGGGACGCAAAGCAATGGTTGACCCATCGTCCGGGCAATCCTGATCTGAGCATCTGAGACTTCTAAGAGGGGACATCCATCAGAACGATCCAGAAGCTGTACTTGCAAGGTCCAGCCATCAGGCTCCGATTGCCATGAATAGGTTGCCTTCTGAGATGCGTCATGCCCGGCTTGCAATGAAACAGAGGGTGCCTGTGGTGGGTCCGATGCTTCAAAGTTGACTTTCTTGGTGTTGTCCAGCAACCATACAGTCACCGAATAGCGGGGCTTTTCCGAGGGCAGCACCTCATGCGGCGTGCGGCGATCCGACCAAAAGAGCAGGAGCCGATTCTGAAGCGGGGCCACGGTGCGTCGCAGGGCGGTCTGGTTCTCGTGTTGGAAGATCGCCAGTTCTCCACCATCACCGACCTGCCAGTCCCCATTCAAATAAATCAGAGCAGTTAGGAGCCGTGTTCTGCAAAGGTGATGCTTCCCGTCATTGTCCACGTGCTTGATGTAACGAGCCCCGCCCCCAGGATAGCACGCAGCCATGGCCTTGGAGCGCGACGTGACTTTTAGTAAGTCAGGCACTGGTCTGCTGAGCTCTTGGATTAAGGTGCCCAGCTTCACCAGATATGACTCTAAGCCCTTCCCATGTGGCCATTCCTCCGGATCAAACCAACCGATCACATCACCTCGGCTGGCTCGATCGGCATACTTGGCGTCATCCGGTGAGGGCAACTGGCCGTTGACCAAACCTCCACCTGCCAAACGGCCAGCAGAATGACATTCAACTACTTCTTTGCGTAGCTGCTTTGCTTGTTCAGATGTTAGAAAATCGTCAATGATGCAGTAGCCCTGCTTATTCAACTGGGCACCAATGGCATCGATGCTGTTGTCCATGACCCACCACCATTCTTCTCTTCCTACAACTTTGTAGTACAAGCGAAGCTGCTTGCATTCGGCTGCAAATTCAGCATCTGCATCCTCATCAGTCTCTGCCGAACTCATGAGTCAAGGGGTACATTCAAATGATAGCAAAGGGCTGCAGAATGGCAAGCTGTGAAAGGCAGAACCATTGCTAGAGGACTCATCTAGGACCTGGATGACTTGAGGTTTGTAAACATCAATGGCAAACCTGGCATTACCCAACCATCATCTCGCAAAGCCGCTAAGCTGTTACAGTACTTCTTTGCTTAGAATTCAAGGACTGTTCCGAGTACTGTTCCAGGATTCGCCATTGGTACAATATGGCGCGGCGCGGCCTGGCGCTATTTCTAGCCAAGACTCAGGACGCCCAGGGCCATTTTCTGCTATCAAGCCATGCAAGCTCAGAAAGGCAAAAATTGCCTTGCCAAAAGGCTCCTTCCTCCCTGCAAAAGGTCTTTTTCGGGGCCAGGCGTTGTCGGCGGCCGGGAGTTGGAGCTACTCCACCCCCGAATTGGGCCAACAAAGGCCGTGAAACTGGTCAAGTCCAGCGAGGTCTACTGAAAAGGAACCGAAGGGGATGAAGGTCCATCAACCTGAGCATTGAACCAGAGGTCTGGAGTCTGGAACTCCAAGACTTCTTCATGCCTTCAGGAGAGATGACATTATGTCACCGGTCGCTGAGCTTGACCGGTCGCTTGACCGCTGAGCTATGTCGAACTTGTGAAACCTGCTTCGGCCGCGCGAAGTCTCTTCTAGGGACGGCCAACAGGTGAGTCGTCGAGAAACCGTTGCATGGGCCCGCTTAGCGGAGCACTTCATTGCCTGGCTATGCACTTATAATTAAACATCTAAACACCAAGAATCACCAACAGGGCACATTTGTCAAAGCAGTACAATGTCGCACCTGTGTTTGCATTGAACAAGCTATCAAGTTGGGGCCATTCAAAGGCGCTTCTGCAAATTTGCATAGATTTACAACGTCGTCGGAAATCATTGTCTCGCTTTGTGCCTTGTCAGTGCCTAAGAAAAGCACTACCGTGCAAAACACCGAATCTGAGCTATGTCCGAGTAGAACACCGCCTCTCCTCGTCGCATCATGCTTTCTAGTGTGCAAATCAATGCATTCCATACCAATTGGAGTTGAAAAATCTTGCAGCAACTGGGAACACCAACAAGCTACACAAATTCCCTCAACAACGCAAGGTCGACCTCTGTGGCAAGGCCGACGGCCCCAATGGCCATCCGTGTCGCCGGTGGGAGCGGATGAAGGGCTTTCGCCCGCCGCCTGAGTCGAAGTCGACACCAACGGGACCCGCACGGTGTGAGAGCGAACGATGCCAGACTTAACCTATATAATAGCGATGGCCTCCAACCTAGTAGCGATGGCCTTCAACCCACTAGCGATGGCCTCCAACCTACAAGCGATCCCCTCCAACCTACAGTAAGAGCAATTGGGCCTGTGTGTTAACCGGGATTTAGGTGCTTTCAGAAATGGAAATTTGTCCACAGCAGCTGAGGTACATCTCTTGCCTGGCAGCCTGCGAGAGGTCACACGCGAAGATCTGCTGTGAGTTCATATGTAAAATTGATGTGGCAAACCAGATGTTTGCTTGGGGCCTGGGGAAGGCCTTTATCTTAGCTGCCCTCGGACATACTGGAGGCTCTGTGCCATCGGATCCATCAAGTCCCCATCTCTTTGAGCACAAACAGTGCAAGCTCTCCTCCAAGCGCAGCAATCCACCCTCGAGGGCTGACAGCTGGGAATTGGCCTGTGCAGATTCAAAAACAAACACACGTTCCGGCCATGAACCGCATGAACGCCATCTGTACAGCTTCTCAAGGGTTCCGAATCCTGAGGCAATCTGGGTCTTAGAGGATACTCAAAACCCAACCACAAGGGTTCACCATGGTTCCACACACGCGTGAAACACAAACTTCCTTTAACTGGTGGACATCTCCCTTCCAAGCCTTCCTCGCCGCTGCTATGATGTGCTCGCCGTGGCTGACCTTGCGGGTTGTCTCACAACTCTCCTCGAAAGGACCCTTTACAAACAGCGACTCCCTCTGCAATTTTTCAAGGGGCAAACAAGCAAACCATGTAAAATTGGTGTCTTCCAATGCTCACCTCCCTTCTGAAGCATGATCTTTTAGCTATGAACCCGTTTATTCACAGGCAAAGCAAAATGCAATGGGTTAACTAATTCAACAAGGCACAGAGAGCCCGTCGAATTCTGGAAGAGCTGTAGGACCTGACCGAACCGTCTGACCGGAGTCGAGCCGTGGAACGCTCTTTCTTCGGTTCTCGGCCGAGTGGCGCCGGCCCTAAGGCCCAGAAGTCGTCAGATCCACTAGGTCAGTTTTTGGACATGATACCCATGTGTCATCTGATCTGTCAACAAGTTGAAGAAAAAATATATGGCAAGTATATTGACAGATTTCAAACGATCGATGCGCGTCTTCTTCCCCTAATGGAAACTGAGCCTGTATGGCACGCTGTGTGTGAACCGAAGTGCAGTGCCGGCACAGAAACCGTCTGACACCCTGCCTTCCATTTACGTGTTCACTGGAAAAGGATCACTTCAGCATCGTGGACTTACTCGACCCTTCCAGTTCACATTCCCGGCGTTTTCAACACCATTCTTCAAAATCTGAATTAAACTTCCGCACAGCCAAGGCTTGCTCTTCCCCTTGGCTTTGCCGCCACTTGCATCTCCTCCACCATTCGTCACCTCATCTTCTGTTCTTGCTTTCCAAAGCCTTTGGCATATGGCCCTGTGTTCTCCCCCCGGAGCCCTTTCCTTGGCCTCTTTCATCTGCGCTCTCTTGCTTTCCACCTTCTTTTGACTTCGACTTTCCTTCACCTTTCACTCCTTTTCGCGGTCTGGACTTGCTTGGTTGTCAATCTCACTCCATCTCTTTCTGTTCGACCATTGGGTCCTCTATACCCAACTCTGTCTGGAACGCCGTATGGACCATAGTTCGCGCTCATCCATCTGGCTATCTTGACTCCTCTAGTGGCGCGTTCTGGTCTTCATGGCCTTCTCTGACGTGGTGAACGTACTGCCTCATAGTCACACGTGGTTGATCACTCTTGTCCTTCCTTTTGGTCCTCCACATTGCACGTCTTTAAAGCAATCGACGAAGGTATCAATGGCATCATCCACTGACTCATCGTCTCGATCGTCTTTCTTCATCTGTCTGAACGTTCGAAGCTTTTCCATCAAGCAGACCTCAATGCCAATTCCTTCTCGAACCATCTTGAACCTGTACTCTTCATACTCATAGTCTGCCGGCGCCTCTGATGGAACATAGGTTTCATTCGACTCCTCATCGCCAGCTTCTTCGTCCTGTTGTCTTCCAAGAAAGGGCGCAACCGTTTGGAAACCTCTGTTGTCAAGATTTGGTCCTTCGTCCGGTGTTTGCACCGGTTGTGGATCTCCTGATCCTCGAGCTGGTTCTCTCCCCAACTCTTCTTCGTCTTCTTCTACCTCCTCTTCTTCTCCTTCTAGCCTCACCATTCTTACGCGCGCATGCAACTGACCGAGGAAGCAAAAGTGAGGACGGTGAGCGAGGCGTACGACCTCACCTATTGTGATGAGGACACCGATTGGGTGATCTTCAAAGAAGAAGATGAAGCCAGGCTCGAACACTACGTGGACTTGGTGTGAGATGGTTGAGGGCAGGGCGTCAGACCGATGCTTCGTGAGAGGCGCTGCGCAAGCAAAGGATTGCAGAGTTGGCCTTGATACAGGCGCCGATGTTTCAGTTTTGCCAGTGGCCTTTGCAGACATTGGGATTCCATTGTCGAGGCCTGAGCTGAGCAAGAGGTCAATAGGAGAAGGTGAGAAGGAAGAGAAGAAGGTTGGGGGAGATGGTTGGTTTGGGGAAAGCCTTGAGGATGGAGTTTATGGAGATGAAGACGATGAAGAAGAAGTGGGAGAACAGCGTGAGGCTGATGAAGGCGAACCATTCCGTCGAGAACCTGGACCCGTTGAAGAGGAGATTGAGGAGATTGAGATTGAGGGAGGGAGTTACAAGAAGACTTCACCACTCCGGGAGCTACGGGCAGGTTTGAAGAAGCGTGGTCTTGGCAGAGGAAAGAACAAAGAAGGCTTGGTCAAGTTGGTACATCGCTACACCCACTTTGCAGAGAACTTGAGTACGGAACTTCGCAGCAAAGCAGATGAAGGCGAGGACGCAAGAGGACAAGTGGCACCTCGAGTTCCAAGCAAAGCTGAGAGGCAGGCGCATGAGTTGACGCACTGGCCGTATCAAGACTGGTGGGAGCACCGCGTTGCAACGAGGGGTAAAGAGGGCCCCCAGATCAAAGAGCAGAACCTGGTGAGGCAAGAAGGAAAAGCAGACATGCCCGCCATCTTGATGGATTTTTGCTTCACCAAAGGATAAGACGGCGTTGGCGAGGAGACAAAAGAAGACCTGAGGATGTATCAGGGCGAGGTGTAGCTCTTGTGGTCACAGATGATTGGTCACGGGCAGATCTCGTCGTTCCTACACCATTGAAGTCACAAGCTGAGCAGGTGTTGAGATTCATTGGCAGCCTGGGCTACTCTCGAGTGATCTTGAAGGGTGATGGAGAACCTTTGATGAGGATGTTGCTCGATCATCCAACAAGCCAGGCTGAAGCTTGGATTCCACACCACGGTGGAGCTCAGCGGCCCTCATGATTCACAAAGGAATGGCAGAGCGGCAGAGTTGAACGTGAGATTCAGACAGTTCGAGGTTTGGCAAAGACTTTGATCAGAGCTGTGAGAGAAGGGTGTCAAGTGAACACCAGGCCATCATCAAGCATTTTCGTGCGGGCGCTTCGCAATCCAGGTTGTTGACTCACTACAGGAGGGAAGGTGGTGGCCCAACAGCGCATGAGATGAGGAGCGGAAGAAAATACGGAAGAAAAGTTGCAATGTTTGGTGAACGTGCGTTGGCCAAGGTAAGAGGAGCAAATGGAGATGATAAGTTCGAGGTTGGTTGCTGGCTTGGTAAGACAGATCGAGCAGACTTCCACATGGTGGCAACAGCAAAGGGATTGAAGTGGACACGCACCATTTGAAGATTGCCGACCGCATTTGAGGCAGAGGCTCTACACTTTGTGAAGGGGAATGGGCAATTGGATTTGGTCAGATTGGTGAAAATGGCTCCAGCTTTGATGGCTAAGTTCCCTTCTGCGCCATTGCCGCCAGCTATGGCTTCAGAGATCAGAGCAGAAGAGCGTGAAGAGGCCAGGACGTAACTCGCTGTATGTTGTACTGTCATCCATTGTCAACTGGATGCGCTGCCTCAGGTGTTGTGGCATGACTCTCAGCAAGACAGAAATCCGGGCGTTCTGGGCAATCTCTTCGCCTGCAATGGCACGATAACTCCTCACCCAGCCGTTCCAGTCCCAACAATTGTCTCTGCTGAACACGGGATGTGACAGATAGGCTTGCAGCATTGCTTGGCATGAGTTGCTTCCACCGTTGCCTCCACGCTTCTAAGACGTTCCTCCCCTCAACCGATCTCAGAATCTTCAAAGGTCGACGTCGAAGGAGCACAAAGTCCATTGGGCCTGTGGCCTTCTCAGCTTCGTCCAGGTCCTTCTCATACTTGCTGTCAGCAAAAGTCAGCCATGACCGAAAGGTCAATCGCCAGTCCTGCCATTGCGAAATCTCTTCCTCCTGGTTCGTTGGCGAGAACACCTCAGGCTGCTTCAGCACCTCACTTGCACTACCGAAGCCTGGCCTTTCCCTTTCTCTTTCTCCTCTCTCAGCAGTCCTACTGCCTCCACCGCTGCAGCTGCTGATTGGCTTGAGCTCACAACCAAAGCTTGCAAAGTTTCAGGATCATTCTTTCCCTCCTTTTCTCTCTTTCACTTTTCTTCTTCTTTTCTCATCTCCTTCTTTTCACCTCTTCAGGCCTTCAAAGGCCTTCCACCAAAGGCCCTTGACCTCGTCTTCCCCGGGGTATCTTTATCGGGCCGTTTATCGGGCCCCCCGGGCGGCTCCGCTACCATGAAGGATCTCAAACGATCGATGCGCATCTTTTTCCGCTAATGAAAACTGAGCCTGTATGCGTTGCGTGTGAACCGAAGTGCAGTGCATGCCGACATGGAAGCCGTCTGACATATGTGTGTTTCTTTTTAATTCCTACAACTTGATTATCATCATAGTTTACCGTATTTGCTTAATCGTTGCGACATAGAATAACTGTAGCAAATCCGCCGGCTTTAGCCGGCGTGTTCTGTGGATGTTCCTGTTGCTGTTGCTGTTGTGTTGTAAGTCTTTCCCCTACGCGCGGATTTTTGCTCACCCCCCCCCTCCCCCCTCCCCCCGCCTTCCTCTCTACTATGCCAAGACAGCACACACATCATCCTCTACGGCACCCCGCATTCACCCTGCATCCTCGAAGCGTACGCCCCAAAGATAGATCAAGGCTGCAGCACGGAACACCCTCCTCCTGCCATGCCTCCAACCTGTCCGCTAAGATGCCAAACTCTTCCATAGATAAACAACTACCCTGTGTTCCACTGCAGGCATTTTCTACCCCTTCTTTCCAAACCCGTGCTCAAATTGCTACAAACATGTGTCTTTCGTCTGCGTGTCTGCTTTTGTTTACCTTATGGCCTTGGGAAAGCCGGCGGAACACGCCAGCGGCGGTTAAATTAACCCAACACTCTTCTGTCATCAATGACGCTTTCTAATGAAGTCGTGTGAAGTCACAAACGAAACAATTGCCCGGAGCCCTTGGAGCTCACAAGTCAACCCTTCGTGGCCATCCGTACGTCTTCTCTTTGATCAAAATGGGATGCATCTCGTCCGGGCCTTCGTCCCTGCTCTTCAACCACGAGGAAGATAAAGGAGAGTACGCTGGTCCTCGTTTCGTCCCAAACTGTCGGCCCAAAGCGTCGCTCGTGTCGCTGTCCGGTCCTGAATCCGGTCCGGGGCTGAGGCGGTCCGAGCGCGTTGACGTCGGTGACCTGCCAGATCGACCAGGTGCGGCCGCTCGTGCCTTGAAGAAGGGACGGCCTTGAAGTGGATGTGATCCGCTCGTGCCCGGCCCGGCGCTCAACCTCGGCCCAAAGGGCTGAAAGACAGAAGAATGACATGACTTCGACGGAAACCCACATGAATGACATGGACCTGGATCGTAAACAGTGAGAATGAGCTCTTCGAGATGTTTGGAACTTCCTGGCAGGGCTGACTTGACCAATTGGAGAATAGACCTATTGGAGATGTCCTCTAACTATGCCCTATGCCTTGTCAAGTGTCCCAAACTGTCTTAATGCATTCCAGGCAACCACTCCGTGCTCTTCTAAAGCAGCTCGAGCGCTGGTGGCAGTTTCCCCACTGGCCGTTTCAGTGTTGCGAACTACCTCAGTAACTCATTCATGTGCCTTTTAAAGCCATATGGGCATCTGCAAACAATTGATCAAGTCGATGTTGTGTCGAAGGAGCCCTTCCAAACTCTTTTTCTGAGTCTCCTTCAAGTCTTGTTTTGCAATGGTCGATCCAGTGGTCCCAGGTCGCTTCTGCAAGCCTAAAGTAAAACATAGTTTAAAAAAAAGTTTGCAGTTTCGCAGCCTCGAAAGCAATTCCGGAGATCGTCTCGGCAGCTGCATCTGAAGCTGCCTGCATCGAAAACATCCATTTCAATATCATTTCATGCTTTGGATGCACTGGCAAAGCAAACTCCACAACTCTCGGGTCTCTCGTGTCCGCAGACTCGTCCGCAGACTCCACCGCATCTGCGCCTTGACCGACTCGGAGTCGGAACTGCCAGGTGTGGAGATCTGGCTCGATGGATGTGGCCTGGAGCAAAACATGTGGCAGTTCCAAGCATGTGACCACTGTTTCCTTTTGCAAAAGTGGACGAGTCGGCCCAGTTCAGCCTTCTCGCTTTGGCCAGGAGCCCGCAAGCTCGACAAAGGGGAACGCTCCCCAACTTGATCTTTGAGGCTGCCTGCAAAGTACCGTCTGTGATCCGGCCACTTGTTGGTCTTAGGCGACCTACTGGCGATGGCCTCCAACCTACTAGCGATGGCCTCCAACCTATGGGGAAGACAAATCTTTTATATAAATAAGTTCAGAGTCATGATGCGCTTGACAAGACTGATCTCGCACCTTTCGCAAGTCCTCTTCTCGAGCACCTGCCAGGGTGCGCTTCAACTCTTCATAGAGTTGCTCCTGCACCACAGCATGAAATCGCAAAAACCTCCAAAAAGGAATCAAACCTTGGCACCATCCATTGCACCATATACATCATGCATGATCATCTATGTTTTTTGCTGGCATCAAGTCCTCCACGACAGCTCCACCTTCCCTTGTGAGGAGGTCCATGGATGCAGCCTCGAAAATGTATCTACCACATCCCACATCCATTCGGCTCATCAGAATGTCCAGAATCTCTCAAAAGGTCTTCTGTCCGTTCCCCGGGCACCGGACAGATTCGAAAATCTCACAGGAGCGACACCATCGCTTCAGGCGTTGCTCCATGTTCTCCCGCGCTGCCACGCCGCTTCCCGTCGACGAGGGCCGCGACAGCGCGCAGCCAAAGGCGGAGCCCGGCGGTGTCTCCCGGCGACCCCCGGAGACCAACGTGGCCAACGCAGAGGCTACAGCGGTGCGTGCCGTGTCACCAGGGACATACAAGAGACCTCCAACCGAAAGGCGCAACTTCGCGGCTTGGACTGAACGGATCTTGTGAAAGCTGAACATGTTTCGACTTATCCTCCAAGTTGGCACCCTTCTGTGCCTGTTTCCTTTTGAATCTTTGACATGTTCTGTTTGTCTGGGTCTGGGCCTGCTTGCCAGAGATCTCCTAGCAAGGGGATTGCCTCCATGGCCTCATCCATGGACCAACCCTTCCTCAGCATGCTGGTGCAGCGCCCTGATACCGCAGCCACTAAGGCAGCAAAGGCCAGGCGATGCGAAGAGAGGCGTCCGGAGATCTGGAGCGCCACCCGGTGAAGGTTCTCCTTGGCTCATCATCTTTGATTCTTTTAGCCCACTAGTTCGCTACTAGGCTAAGTTAGCTTCCAGGTAGGACGCAGGTTTGCTCACGCCAATGATTTGATTCTTAGATGTTTAGAGAAACTTGACCCAGACTCATGCGAAGCAGAAGTCTACAAGCTCTCGCACTCAACAATTGGACGGTCCCAGTCTGTTCTACTTTGGCATGAGTCTTGTATCCTAAGTCACAGCCAAACCTTTCAGGTTAATAACCTCGGTCGCTCCCTGACTTGGAGCCCAAGAACAGCCAAACTGATTTAGAGAAAACTAGACTAAGTGAAAATGAAAACAAACCTTGAATAATAGTAATAAGAAGAAGAAAACATCCAGCGGATCCTAATTCGAAGTCTTCGAGTTAATGCGAACAGGTGGTGCGGTGTTATTGATGCCAAGATGCAAAGAGTACCATTCAAATAAAAACCCCCTCCTTCGACTCTATCAGCGTCTATGTCGGAGCTTCTTGAAAATGAACCATGCTTCTACTGGGCAGCGACATTCTGCTCGATATCCTGCCATCCTTCTTTCTGTCGACTCGGCCTTTGTTTTAGACTAGACTGTGGCCCTTCCTGCGTTCCAGGCGCCCCTTTCAACCCAATCAGTTACTGCACAAGAATTGGAGGTACAATGACATCCCTGAGCCTTGGAGGCCAAGTTGTCACCAATCTGAAGAGAATTGGTTATCGCCAATAATGAAAAAAGGCTTCCTTCATTGATTTCCTTCGCATCCTTTGGGTGCTTCTCGGCATCCCTTGGGTATCTCGGATTGTCGTGCAAACGTTTTATATATATATATATACAGTATATAAGTGTGTGTATATATATATACATTGTGAATTCTCACATGTGAACCTTCAGGCATGTCCGGACCTCAGCCGTCGCACTTCTTTCCGAAGCCTTTTCGGGCACGAGTCCGTTGGGTGGTGAGGGTCAAGGGCCTTCGAAAGGCTTTCGAGCCATAGCGTGAGGACACGCTTGGTTGCTCGGCGAGGACGCCGATTCGTTCAGGCAGTGGCGGAGGAAAAGGCCGCCTTTGTGGTGCTGTGGGCACCAGCTGAGGGTCGAAGGGCTACCAGTGTGGGCAATCCACATTGGTAGCGGAGCTCCGCTCCAAAAGCTCCTGATCGTTGGCCGTGAGCAAGCGTGCGTTGGAACTTGAAGGCGTCGTACATTGTGATTGGCAACAGCAGTGCATTGTTGACACAGGGCTACAATACATTGTTTTGCTTGGTTGAGTTGAGTTGAGTTTGAGCATTGGTTGATCGTTGGGGAACGTTAGCAACATTGCTCTACATCGCTCAATTTTGTTCTGGCCAACGCCTTGGTGAAGAAAGGTGAGCGGTTCCAGGGAGGCAAACATGCCAGAGAGGCATCGCAGACTCTGTCAGAGGAGATCTCACTGGCAGCATTTCGAGAGTTGACGCTGGAACAACAAGGGCCCTACCTGATCACATTCGGCAAGGCTCACCGGGGCCAAAGCTATGCCGACATCTGGGAGAAGGAGCCGGGGTATGTGAAGTGGTTTCAAGCCACGTATCATGCCTCAAAGAAGCCAGAACACCAGCGCTTCCTCCACTATGTGACCCGACAAGTGGAGCACTTCGAAGAGACTGCACCGAGTCATCAGGTGACATCCACGCCGGCTCCAAAGAGCAAGGCATATCCAAAGCCGAAGCCTGCAACAGCACAGATGCCAGTGACAGCTCAGGACCTTGTCGACATCAGTGCCGAAGAGAGCTGGGAAGTGATCCAACAAGAAGGACAACACTGTGTTCGGCGCAACCACATGGGAAACCTCATCAAGATCTCACCAGAGCACATTCGTGAGATTAGTGAACAAGAGAAAGAACAAATCCCTCAGAATCTCCATCCGATCCAAGACCTTGAATCAGAACAACCAACGAAAAGTAATAAGAGACTTTATAGTAGAGACTATAGAAGTGCCTGAAGTCCCCAGCACCTCCCAAGCATCAGGGCAGGCTCAGGAAAGCAATGTTCGACCCCCATCATCCAGAGAAGAAGAACAACCAGATCAAGAGCCAAGTGAGGGACCGGTCTCAGGGCAACCTGATGATGCCTCCGAACAAGCTGCCGAGATAGATCCGGCAAACGTGCCAGTTCCGACAGACTCAGGTGACGAACTTGTGCGACCACCTGTTGTGTGTTGAAGATCAAACCGAGGGTTTGCCAGATCCTGACGATCACATCGGTTGGAAGTACGAAGCCACGGTAACCGAGCAGGACATCAAAGCATGGAAAACATCGGAACATCCTTCGGAATACGTTTTCGTAGCAACAAGCGCCAAACGTGATCGAACTGAGGTAAAACTTCATCAACTTTCTCAGGAAGAACAAGAGCTTTTTAGGAAAGCGAAAAACAAGGAAATACAGAATTGGCTCGATACAGGCACAGTGAGCCGCATCTTCAGGCCATCAGCTGAGTCCGAAGCAAATCTTGCGACGCCGATGGATTTGCATATGGAAACCATTAGATGAAGAAAACGCGCAATCAACAGAAGTGAGTCAAAAACCCAACCAAACTACGCACAAACCGAAGGCTCGTCTCGTAGTTCTTGGTTATCAAGATCCCCAAAAGAAACGGTCCCGAGAGACAGTCCCACATTGGGAAAACAATCCAAGATGCTTCTACTCCAATTGATTAGTTCCATGGGATGGACGCTGAGAAGCTTCGACATCCGAGCCGCATTCTTGCAAGGCAAAACCCAAGACGGTCGAGTCCTAGCCATCGAACCTGTTCCAGTTTGTCAAAACCGCAATGAACCTGAAAGAAAATCAAGTGTGCAAACTCGAAAAATCCGGGTTGATAGATGCCCCGTTTTTGCGGTATAAGGAGTTGGACCGGACCTTAAGGGAACTGAACTTTGTCCCAGCACCTTTCGACCCATGTGCATACATCCTGTACCAAGAAGGACAGCGAATTCCATCAAGGATTTTGGGTGTCCATGTCGATGATGGGCTGTGTGGCGGCGACCAGTTCTGTGACCAGCAGATTGCCAAGCTAGAAGCCAAGTTTCCATTCGGGAGCAAGAAGTCAGGACAGTTCACTTTTACTGGAGTAGATATCGACCAAAAACCAGACAAAAGCATCGTCATGTCTCAAGGGAAATACATCAGCAAAATTGAACCGATCCATATGAATTCAAACAGGCGAACATGTCTGTCGGAGCCAGTGACTTCCGAAGAGAAACACAGTCTTCGAGCATTGATAGGAAGCCTTCCATATGCAGCGATAAACACGAGACCTGATTTGTCAAGTAGGCTAAGCTACCTACAAAGTGAGATAAACAAAGCAACAGTGCAGACTCTACATGACGCCAATCGGGTCCTTCATGAAGCAAAACGATACAAAGACACCCATAATCGAATCCAGCCAATCCCCATCAAAGACCTAAGGTTTTTGCTGTTCTCGGATGCATCCTTTGCATCAGCCAAGAGCCCGGAAAGCCATACAGTTATGATAATCTTGGCGACCCACAAAGACATCATGGAAAACTATCAGTGCCCAGTCAGCCCCCTGTCATGAAGATGCAAAAAGATCCAGAAAGTAGTGACCAGCACTCTGTCAGCAGAAACAACGTCATTGCAAACTAGCCTAGACCAATTATCATGGTTGAGACTCTATTGGACCTGGCTCCTAGATCCCAAGACAAACTGGCGACAACCCCAAAAAGTGTTTCAAAAAATCCCACCATCAGTGTCATCATCCACGCATTTAGCACAGATGCTCCCAAACGCAGTAGCAGTAACAGACTGCAAATCTCTCTATGACCTGGTGACTCGAACCGCCCAACCGAACTGTCAGGAATTTAGGACTCAACTTCAGGCCAGGGCGATTAAGGATCTACTCTCAGAAGGAGTGACCTTAAGATGGGTACACACGGGGGCCCAGCTTGCCGTTGCACTGACCAAGGTAATGCAAAGCCATTTCTTGAGATACACGTTGCAACAGGGTCGCTACCAACTTAATGACGAGCTGCAGGTGTTGAAGCAACGAGCAGACCATCGAACTAGAATGCAGTGGTTGACATCCGGATGCCCATCTGACACCAAGCCAACAAGTTTTGAAGATTTTTTGGGAGTGTGAATTTTCACATGTGAACCTTCAGGCATGTCCGGACCTCGGCCGTCGCACTTCTTTCCGAAGCCTTTTTGGGCACGAGTCCGTTGGGTGGTGAGGGTCAAGGGCCTTCGAAAGGCTTTCGAGCCATAGCGTGAGGACACGCTTGGTTGCTCGGCGAGGACGCCGATTCGTTCAGGCAGTGGCGGAGGAAAAGGCCGCCTTTGTGGTGCTGTGGGCACCAGCTGAGGGTCGAAGGGCTACCAGTGTGGGCAATCCACACATAAATAAGTATAGGTTGTCTTTGTCAGTCAAGTTGTTGTGAACTAGTATACTAGTAGTGGCTTTCCGTCGGGCAGGTTGCTGGGCAAACTGGTCAGAGGCCCTTGCCTACAGTTTCTCATTGGCCTCCGCCTTGGTGTGGGCTCTTCCTTCAATTCACTTCCATGCGCTTGTTTGCATAATCACATTTCCGTCAGAATCACAGGGCAGCATACATCGAATGACATCCGAATGAGACCGGAATGACCCACCTTATGCTACAATGTGTTCGGTGTTTTTTGTTTTCTGTGAAACACGTTTAGGCTCAAGTGCACACTGTCCCTGTTGCAGTCCAAGCATCCAACGTGGAGCACTCCTCCAGCGGAGCCTTGGCAACACTGAACGAATCAACTCAATCAAGGCTGTGCCCGGTACCTCGTCCAATCTGCTGTGGTCATTCGCTGTGGGGAGTGGCAGAAGCCCGAGACTGTCTGCCCTTGTAGAGCCAAGCAGCAGCGAAGGTTGACGAGAGCTGGCCCACCAGCCCCGCATGCGGGGCACCACTCCGCCTGAACACAGCTGACACAGGACCTGCTTGTTTGGAGGTCTAAGGTCTAGTCTACACCTACTCATACCTACACCATGTTCGAGTTCCCCATCTCCGCACCTCTTCGCTTTTGCTGGGGTGGATGATCTGCTTGATCCACCGACCTGGCAAGCAAAATCAACTTGGTCCAAACGAAACAAGGACAAGGTGGAATACATGTGTCTCAACCAGTGCCTGCAACGCAGGTGCTGAACCAGAGATACACAGCTGCCTGACCAACAAACGAACCCTCCACCAACTTCGCACAAATAAAAATTGTCCAATTTCTTTCGTCAGCGAAGAAGAACCAGGCCTGCAATTTAGACCAAGATCGTCGCCGCGAAAGCGTGCCCTACGGTGCATCCAACAGGATTCCAATGTTGGAGGCTGCCTCGAACCTTGAAAAAGGGTAAAGTCTGCCTGTCTTTCACCTCACTCAACCGGAACAAGTCTTGAGGGCCCCACAAAGCTCTTCTTCGATGGAAGGGCCTCGCCACTTGGTGGCGGCCACCGTCACAGAGCCTGAGGCTGGGAAGAAGGAAAGCTCACTGCTCACTATCCATCAAACAATGCGAAGGCGCGTTGGGGGCATTGGCATCACACAAAGCTGAGGAGAGCACATCAGTCAAAACCATATCCTTATGATTCTATATGCACAATGTCAAGAGCCAGAAAGGCGCCAAAAGAAAGTCTGGTCAGGCAAGTCTTGCTGAGGTGGAGGTGCTCAGCACAATCATTGGAACACCCTTTTGCCAAAGAGGATGCCCAGTGAGCACATCAAGATTAAGCCTTTTTCTGCAGGTGAAGCAGGGTGCTGAGAGGAAGCCTCATTGCAATTCATGACCTGGTCCAGCAATTCCATCATGGTATAAATGACCTTGATCATCAAATATTAATGGCTAAGTACCAGCTATCTATCAATCTCAAATTGAATCAGCCAGGCCAGTGTGAAACATGACATGAGTCTGACATGAGTGGCTCAAAGACAGTCCACAGAGAAACACTGAGTCCTCACTTTGGAACTGCTGAGCTCGATCATCCCGCCGGTGGAGCCGTCGCCTGAGCTGTCGTTCTTTTTTCAGGCCCCGTTGGAGAGTGCTCTCCCGAAGCCGCTGGGACACCGACAAAAAAGGGAGCTCTTCCGTTAAGCTCAATGTCACACTCCTGACGTTGAACAAACATTCCTTGGACTGATTCAAGGAAAAAACACGAACAGAACACCACACAAGGTCCAAAAAACACACGGTACCTCCGCCCGTCGTCTTCTCTCTTGGTCAACAAGCTGCTTCCCGTCACTTAGCCTCGGGAATTTGGACCGTCACTCAGCCGCTGAGCTTAGCGCACGTGCACGGCTCCGAGCGGATCATCGCCATCACCGCCCTCTCCGAACTCAAACCTGGGAGCAATGTCCGGTGTCTCCCAAACAGGGCGACAATGGCATCGCATTTCTTGATCAATATCCATCTGTGCCGCGCACTCCATCACCCCCAATGTAAAGAACTGCAGGAAGCGGGAATATACCTATTGCAAATGCTGCGCTATGACTGTGAAGTTGGTGTTGATAAACCAAGCAAGTGCTCAATATGGCTCGAGGGGCACGTTGAAAACATTGCAGCAACAAAGCAACGCTATTAGGCAAGGAAACACCTGGCCGGCCAAGGGTCGAAGAATACATAGACTCCAAAACATAATTTGCCAAAAATGTTGCCCCTACACATCCTCGCAGCATCTTTAGCGGCCGTCCTGCCTGATTGAATGACGCGCCCAGCACAGGCACCATGTTCATCTGACCCATAAAAGCCTTCCGTGAGAGCATAAGTCGTGCTCTTCTGCGGTTGCACTACAACCGTGCAGTTCGTTTGCAAGACTTGAGACAGAAAAGTCATCCTGAAGTTGGCAGTCGACCTGGAAGGTGGTGCCGTTCACGCGAATCAGCAGGAGGAAGTGGTAACACAAAGGTGCCTTAGCAGTGCTTCGCTTGTTGAGACACACAGCCCACTCGACGGCTCAAGGTCGAGACCGCCAAACGGGCCAAGATGGATGCACACCTCAAGCAATGGAAACCGATTTTCTCCAGCAAGGTGCACACCTCATCTCATCTACCAAGAACACTGATGGAACTTTCAGAGCCGCGCCCGCACCACAACTCCCTTTTCCACAAAATAAGGAGATAGAGTCGGCGCCGCTGATTGGTCAAATCCCAGCAACGTGCCCGTGCACTGCGTGTAAACAGTTCCCCACACCATTTGTTTCACTACAGCATGCCCAAACGGTGGGCCCTCGAGTGCCGTTGGGTGGCCTTCGGGGTGAGGACCAACTCACTGCTGGCTTGATTACTTGGTCTTTGACTGACAAAACAGTCTGACCAATCAAAACATAAAGAGGGCTGGGGCCACAAGTGCTTTGGTGAGGACCTGACCACAGTGCACGTTGCGAGAGTATATTATTGATGCAAAAAGTGAGATGAAATGCAAACATACACGTATAAAGCAAGACAAGCAAAGAAATAGGTCTCCACAAAACTTGCAACTGTCCGTGTATCTTTGCAAGTCCAAATGGCGACGTTGAGGGGCCATCTGAACCCCCTCACCTTGAAATCTGCAGCAAGTCATTGCCGCCAAACGAAGCATAGAGAAGTTCTGCCATCTGAGAAACTTGAAAGCTGCAAGGCACAACAAAATCACCGCACCTAGTAGGACCTAGCCTACAGTTCAACATGCAGTTGTACGAGTGACAGTAACACTTCATTGATTGAAATGAGGTCTTTTTCCGCCCTCACCTAGGCCAACAACCCAGCGGACGAGCATAGCTCACCGTTTTGGGGAGTTGCCGCCAAAGTGCTGGTTTTTACTTGAGGGCGCCTCAGCCCCGCCTTCGCATGGTGAACTTCAAAACAAATGCGTCCAATTGTGGAGCCAAAGATTTTACTTCGTAGATTCAGCTGTGAAAGGCTTCGTAAAGGCCTCCGCCTGTTCCACTATTTTTGGTGTCGAGTGTCTTGATGCGTTTCAAAGCCTTCCACGATGACACCTTGGTTGATGCACCAAAACTGCTTCCGGCAAAGTCGTTGGCCTGACGCCAGACTTTGTAGACCTGATGACCTGTACATCGAGCGCTGATCGTCTATATAGTGTCATGGATTTGCCCTGCTTACGAAAGGAGAGACCGAGATTCACTCAGCTCACTTGACTTCCTTCACTGCTAAACTTCCCACCGACCTTCCCACCGTGGTATTTTGAGTCCAGGTGTTTCAGCTTGGAAGCAAGTGGCTCATGAAGATTTGTCAGATCATTCGGCAAAATCTATTGCAGGCGGCGGAATTGAAATCCAACTCCAGAGTTCTGCTCACTAAAACAGATTAAACATCATCATCATCATCATCATCATCATCATCATCATCATCATCATCATAGTCATCATATATATATATATATATATGTATATATATATATGCATAACAAAATTCAGAAAGGATTCCAACACCGCGTCCTAGGGGCTAGGGCTGAATTGAATTCACTGACAGTGCTGATCTCGCAGCGGTCTGATCGCCAAGAGCATCGATTTGAGGCTTGAAGTGTGGCAGCTCGTCGCGCCCACGCAAGGGAGCAACACTTTCGGCAACGCTTTCGATGCTTCAGGTTGAGCTTGGTTCGGATGATGATGATGAACACATCCAAACACCACAGTGGTCACAAGAAACTCTTTCGCATGAAACCCCTTTCGCATCGCTTGACATCTTCTGCAACCGGAAAAAAATATAAGAGGCGTGGCTTGAAGAAGTTCCGCAGCACTCACCCGCAAACAGGAAGTATCGTTGGTGGCGCAGCAAAACGGGGACCACAACATACCAGAACCGTAACACACCATACTGTTGTCAAAGACCACAATCATAACCTCTGGACTCCAAAAGTTGGAAATGCCTCACATTTCTCCATGTTGAATGCGAGTGGTTGACCTCTACAGTAACTGCCACACCTTCACCAGCTCCACCCCCAGACTCAGTCAGGTGGGAGCTTGGTGCGAGCCACACATCGGTTTCACAACCCTGCATGAAAAACGGCGCATGCACTGCAAGTTTGAGACGATCACTGCGAACATCGTCTTCATTGCGGCTCTACGGGAACCATAGGAACAGCAGGAGGGAACCTCAGATGCAATGTGTTTGCCCTGTTTGGCCTGCAGGCGTTTATTTGTGCTTGCTCTTGTCTATGGAAGTGTCATGCTTGCGTGGTGTCAAATGATTCTGTGGACGAAGAATGGAAACAAGGGCCCCAAGGATACAGGTATTCAGGTATTCTGGTGTCATTCACGAAAAGCCAAAGAAACCTCTCACCATCAACCAGCTGAAACTCCACTCACAAAAAGACCATACCTCCTTTCGTAACTAAGGGCCGAGCTCAGCTGGCTTGCCTAGACAGGATCAGGATGAATGTTGCTACAGTTGTGACCTAAAACAGCGACATACAGCCTTTAATTCACACATGCCGTTTAACAGCTACAGCTAGGCTCCATAAAAGCTGACATGATGTTGTGTGCCTCCTGTGTAGCCTGCCAGCATGGATCCACTCCACACTCCGCAATGCTCCTGCAACAGGGCAAGAAAGAATACAAAAAACTGACGATTGAAAAGATCAAATTCAATGCATTCCAAACGCAGGGATCAGACTTCAGAACAACTGTAGACATTATGTCAAAAAGCTTCGTTCTCTGCAAAAACGTCCGGCTCCGGGCTCTCCCGCAGTCCTTGCAAAAGTCTCTAAGACGGTCGCAAAGACCCTGCAGCTGCATCGCACCTGACAGCGGTGAAAACCCCACCGGTCACGGTGGTCTTTTGCCATGTTTTCACCACCACGCCTAGGTTGTCACGCGTGGCTGCCTTGGCCAGCAAAGACAGACTGCGCACGGCTGCACAAAGGAACCGCACAGGCTGGAATGCTTGGGTCTCTTCGGACTCACAGTGGTGATTTTTCCAGCTGAGGCTTTGTGGTGTCCCACGTAGTAAGTTGCAGATCCGAGCGTCCTTCTCAATTTTCCGCAGCTCTAATTCGGCACTGTGCAGCATCAGCCAAAAATCAGAACACTCCTGGGCCAAGTCTCAGAGTCAAACGTCACAAAGAAAGTCCAGCACTGGAAGAACGGTCATACGAATGATCTCCACGTCCTCAAGAGTCTCGCAGGTCGCATCGAGGTTGAGCAAAGCCAATTCAAGGCACTTCCTGGGAATTGGTGAAGATATCTCAAAGCCAGAAGCTAAATATGCCTCCAACCCAAGCTGCCTAAAAAACAACATGATCTCGGACTGTGAAAGGCCAAGGAGCTCCATGCGCACCTGCGATGAACTTGGCTGGTCAGACCCACTCACTATCTCCAGATTGCCACCAGCATCTCGGTGAGTTGCAGCGCTCCAGACTGCTCGAGCTTTGATGCGAATTGGCAATTCTGTGGCGAAAGGGTTGTGGATTCTGGAGGAAGTCCATTTCAACCCCAAACTGAGTTCAAGGCCCTCCACTGGTTCAGGCAATCCAGCAATGACAACCTGATCGAGTGTCACTTGTGTACCTTAGCAAAAAGCATTGAACTCACAACTGCATGGGCATGCGGTGCAAATGCACTGGGCTGGAAATGGCCTCTATATACATGAATCTACATGTTCTCCAGTCGTACTTTGCTTCGAGCACTTGTCCGATCTTGATCCTCTTCTCATCCCCGCAAACCAACAACGCACATTATCATGAATCTTTGCGTATCTGTGCTTCTGATCTTCCAGTCTTTGTACTTCAGCAGGAGCTCGTCTCTGCCCACTCAATTGGCCGAGGGGCATTGTCCAAGATGTTTCACCTCCGCGGAAACACTTGGAAAGGACCTAACATGCCACTCCTCACCCAAGTCGTGGTATCCGGCCTGGTTGAGCAGGTCTATGTAGTTTGTTCTGATTGCTTGGGCATCCTTTCGAACAGCTGCAATACTGGATTGCACCTTGGTTGCTGATTCAACAAATCAGCAGTTTCAAGGCATAAAATGGGAGCAAACCATTAGATGTTTGTTTTGATAAATTACTGCACATGGAACCTCAGCTAATCGGGGCCGCCCGTGATGACACCAGTGGCTCTCCCCTTTGGCGGCTTGGAGCGGCTTGGAGCTTGAGAGTCCCTCTAGTTGTGAGAAACATATATACAAGTAGTTCCTCAAACTAAACACCAGTAAATGCCAAAAATACCTGGGAAATAGAAAAACATATTGCACTCAAGTGTCCTCTGAAACTGGTGTCATGAAGTCTGTCTCCTCTGTGTGACCTCTCCTGAGATGCAACATGAACAAAATGAGAGCAGTTAAATCTGTGTCAAACAAGTCGAGCACTAGTAACAAGGGCATTACTACTAGTAGCTTCTAGCTCCTGACATTACTACTAGGAACAAGAAGCTACTAGTAGCTCCACACTGTTTGAAAAGCCGACTTACAATTTACACAAAAGGGCACAAGTGCAGAAGAGCGGCGCTGCCCACATGAGTGTTGGAAGCAGCTCCTCAACAGTCCAGGACAAACAACGGTCACGAACTGCGTCTTCGTGAAAATGAAAGGACGTACCTTCCCTCGTTACCATGCTTAGATGCTTTGGGCGGATGATGCTGATGATGCTGATGCTGATGCTGATGCTGATGCTGATGATGATGATGATGATGATGGTGGTGGTGGTGGTGGTGGTGGTGCCGAGCTTCTAAACTGCGGCAGGCGGTCGCAGACAGCTTCCAGGTCACCATCTGAGCTGACACTATAAGTTCACCGGCCTCAGCATGCAGAAACCTTCACTCTGCGTGGGCTGGAAGGCGCATCGAAATTGAATCTACGCATATAATCCATTCTAATCCCATTTGTTGTCAAATCATGTCAAATCCCCACCCTTTCCAAACCACTTGCTGACAGGCCTGTAGCTCAGTCAATTTAAAAGTGGTCATCAAATCATCATCAACCTCGGACGGAATCCAGGGTGAGTCGTTTGGAATGGTCAGACCTTTTCTGACATGTTAATCTAGGTGAAAATCCTTGTGAG